ACATGAATATGGGGAACAAGTTACCCATTTGTTGTCCCCTGCTTGAGAAGGGAATCAACCCTGAAGTCTAGGCACTGGAAGGAACAAATTCAAGCTCCAGCCTTAAGTCTTCCCATGGGACAAAACTTCTCTTTATACGTCACAGAGAGAGCAACAATAGCTCTTGGTGTCCTTACTCAGACTCGTGGGACAACCCCATAACCAGTGGCATACCTAAGTAAGGAAACTGATATAGTAGAAAAGGCTGGCCTCACTGTTTATGGGTAGTTGCGGGGGTGGCTGTCTTTAGTGTCAGAGGCTATCAAAATAATACAAGGAAAGGACCTCACTGACTGGACTACTCATGATGTAAATGGCATACTAGGTGCCAAAGGAAGTTTATGGCTCTCAGACTACCACCTGCTCAGACACCAGGTACTACTCCTTGAGGGAGCAGTGCTTCAAATACGTACTTGTGTGGCCCTCAAGCCTGTCACTTTTCTCCCAGAGGATGGGGAACCAACAGAGCATGACTGCCAACAAATTATAGTCCAGACTTATGCCACCCGAGAGGATCTCTTAGAAGTCCCCTTAGTTAATCCTGACCTTAACCTATATACCGATGGAAGTTCATTTGTGGAGAATGGGATACGAAGGGCAGGTTATGCCATAGTAACAGTACTTGAAAGTAAGCCTCTTCCCCCAGGGACCAGCGCCCAGTTAGCAGAACTAGTGGCACTTGCCCGAGCATTAGAACTGGGAAAAGGGAAGAAGAATAAATGTGTATACAGATAGCAAGTATGTTTATCTAATCCTACGTGCCCATGCTGCAATATGGAAAGAAAGGGAGTTCCTACCCTCTGGGGGGAACCCCCATTAAATACCACAAGGAAACCATGGAGTTATTGCACACAGTGCAAAAACCCAAGGAAGTGGCAGTCTTACACTGCCAAAACCAGCAGAGAGGAAAGACAGAGAGATAGACAGAGAAAGAGAGACAAAGTCAAAGACAGAAGGAAAGAGAGAGAGGAAGAAACAGAGAGACAAAGAGAAGAAGACAGAGGAAGAGACAGAGACAAAGAGAGACAGAGAGAGGAAGAGACAGAGACAGAAAGTCAAAGAAGGAAAGACAGGAAGAGACAAAGAGGGAGTCAGAGAGAAAGAGAGAGACAGACAAAGAAGAAATCAGAGACAGAGAAAGAGAGAGATAGAAGTGGTAAAGAAAAAACAGTGTACCCTATTCCTTTAAAAACCAGGGTAAATTTAAAACCTATAATTGATAATTGAAGGTCTTCTCTGTAACCCTATAACACTCCAACACCACCTTGTTGTGAGTGTAAACAAGAGTGTAGCCCAAAAGCACTGAGGCCACTGACAACCCATAGCCTTCCTATCAAAAATCCTTAACCCAGCAAGTTTCCTACCACGGGATCTAAATCAGAATTCATTACCATACAAAGGTCCGACCAGATCTAGGAGGAACTCCCTTCAGGACAGGACAATAGACGGTTCTTCCTAGGCAATTAAGGGAAAAAGACACAGTGGGTATTCAGTAACTGATAAGGAAACTCTTGTAGAAGCAGAGTTAGAAAAATTGCCTAATAACTGGTCTGCTCAAACCTGCGAGTTGTTTGCACTCAGCCAAATCTTAAAATACTTACAGAATCAGGAAGGAGTCATCTGTACCAATTCTAAGTTAATATGAACTGAACGAGGTTTCATTAATAGCAAAGAAAAATTAAAATCCCAAACTTACAAAGTTTTCAACTAAAGTAAAGTTTGCTAAAAGTTAACAGTGCAACATGTATTATCCTACTACCACACACTCTCAAAGGATTCCTCAGACAGTTTGCAAGAAATAACAAAATCTATTCTTACTCTACAATCCCAAATAGACTCTTTGGCAGCAGTGACTCTCCAAAATTGCCAAGGCCTAGACCTCTTCACTGCTGAGAAAGGAGGATTCTGCACCTTCTTAGGGGAAGAGTGTTGTTTTTACACTAACCAGTCAGGGATAGTACGAGATACCACTCGACATTTATAGGAAAAGGTTTCTGAAATCAGACATAGCCTTTCAAACTCTTATACCAACCTCTGGAGTTGGGCGACATGGCTTCTCCCCTTTCTAGGTCCTGTGACAGCCATCTTGCTATTACTCACCTTTGGGCCCTTTATTTTTAACCTCCTTGTCAAATTTGTTTCCTCTAGAATCAAGGCCATCAAACTACAGTCTTACAAATGGAACCCCAAATGAGCTCAACTAACAACTTCTACCAAGGACCCCTGGACTGACCCGCTGGCCCTTTCACTGGCCTAAAGAGTTCTCCTCTGGAGGACACTACAATTTCAGGGCCCCTTCTTCACCCCCATCCAGCAGGAAGTAGCTAGAGCGGTCATCGCCCAATTCCCAACAGCAGTTGGGGTATCCTGTTTAGAGGGGGAGAGGTGAAGCCAGCTGGACTTCCTGGGTCGAGTGGGGACTTGGAGAACATTTCTGTCTAGCTAAAGGATTGTAAATGCACAAATCAGTGCTCTGTGTCTAGCTAAAAGATTGTAAATGCACCAATCAGCACTCTGTAAAACCACACCAATCAGCAGGACATGGGTGGGGACAAATAAGGGAACAAAAGCTGGGCACCCCAGCCAGCAGCGGCAACCTGCTCGGGTCCCCTTACACACTGTGGAAGCTCTGTTCTTTTGCTCTTCACAATAAATCTTGCTGCTGCTCACTCTTTGCATCTGCACTAGCTTTATGAGCTGTAACACTCACCGTGAGGGTCTGTGGCTTCATTCCTGAAGTCAGCAAGACCACAAACCCACCAGGAGGAGAAAACAACTCTGGACGTGCCACCTTTACGAGCTGTAACACTCACTGCGAAGGTCTGTGGCTTCACTCCTGAAGTCAGCAAGACCACGAACCCACTGGGAGGAACAAACAACTCCAGATGCACCAACTTTAAGAGCTGTAACATTCACTGCAAAGGTCTGCAGCTTCACTCCTGAAGTCAGGGAGACCATAAACCCACCAAAGGAAGAAACTCCAGATACACCTGAACATCTGAAGGAACAAACTCTGGACACACCGTCTTCACCGCGAGGGTCCGCAACTTCATTCTTGAAGTCAGCGAGACCAAGAACCCACTGGAGGGAATAAATTCCAGACACATGAGGAGTAAGTGCTGTGGTTAGGACAGGGTTGGCTGACCTCCAGAATGAATACACTTTCATTGTGACCAGGATAACAGCTGGGGTAACAGATATCACAAGATTGGCTCCGATGTGACCCTGAGGAGTATCTCAGCTTCATGAGTACAACCAACAGTGTGGCTACCACAAAGCATGTACTGTAAGCGGCTGCTGTTATTCGTCTCCAAACTTTTACTTTGTTACCCGGGCTAACAATCACTTGTGCTGGCAAGGAGCATAAAAGGGGGGTTACCTGCACACCAGGTAGCCTCCAAGGGGCTTTTCCCACGTTCGTAAGAGGCACAGTGAGTCTTCTACTATGAATCTTTGAAATGCCAGCATCACTGACGAACAACTGTTCAAAGTGTTCCATCCCTTCTCATCCTTAGGTTTTTCTGAGATTTTGCTCTCAGACGACAAGTGCAGATATTTTCTAGATACAGCAGCTGTGACCAGACCAACAACACCACTGATGACTAGTAGGCTGATTTTCAGTAGAGTTCCAAGGAATGATCTGCTAGGCCTGACAGAGCACTCGAGAAGTACCTAAGAGTATGGCTGGCCCAGATTCAAGACCAGAGAAACCAGGTATCTTCCTCCAAATATAGGGCTCCTAGAAGGACACCTAGAAATTCAACACTCAATCACAATGTCATGTGATAAGTTATAAGACAGGGCTTTTAATTGAATGCTGTGGGGACACACAGAGGAGATAATGAGCCAAACAGTAGCGGGAGAAGCAGTATCAGGGGAAATAATTCCTGAAAAAGGTGGTACCTGTGCAGAACCCAAAGATGTTGAGTTATTTGGGCAAAAGGCATTCCAAGCAGGAGGCAGACACAGAACGTACAAAGACTCAAAAGGTTGGATGGCACCATCTGCAGAGAACTGCAAGTAATTCTACATGGCTGGAGAACATGGTGTGACGGGAAAATGAGATGGCAGAGGCACAGCCAGGGTCTTAGGAAAGACCTTTTTAAAATAAGAATCTACGAATGTACATTTTACCATGAAGAGGAAGGGAAACAACTGAAGGAATTTTAAGCAAGCAGTACCCTAATAAAATTAGCATTAAAAAAAATTGTGGCGACAGTGTGGAGAACAGATTGGAGGGGAACAAAAGTCAAGAAGACGGGGAACAGCTGAAGTAATCCCTGTGGAGGAGGATGGTGGCCTAAGACAGCAGCACTCAGAATGGAGGGAAGACGTGTCAAACACAGCAAAGAGGTCTAGAGAGAACTCTCAAGGCTTATTCACTGATTTATGTGAGGTGAGAAAAAGAAAGCACCAAGCATGACTCCTAGGCTGCAAGCGTGGATGTCTAAATGGATAGACCTGCTGTTCAGAGATAAAGAATAAGTCAACTCATATTTGAAAGTATAAAAATCAATGATACTGCACTAAATTTTAAAACATTAACACAAACAAAGGCAGAGGTTGTCTCAGATAGTATGGATACATACCTCTGAGATAAATGAAAAGCTTACATTCAGAGAGGAGTAAGTCAGAGTTAAAGAAATTCCTGTCTAACATATGTTGATGAGTGAATAATCAAAGAATAAAACAGAAGGCAATTCACTAACAAGAGAGCCATCTACTGCCTTATAAGCATAGTGCAGCAATGAAATGCCACAAAAAAAAAAAAAATGTGGAAGACAGCCAGGAGTTTTTGACCACTTCACACTGGACATGTTTTTACAAAATATCGGATTCCTCCCACAAAAAAATTCCAAGTGGTTAGCATGTTTAATAATAGCTAAATGCTTTCACTTACTTAAATTTCTCCTAAAAACATCAATTCAATAGAAAACATCATTTGAATACAAAACACTTACCTGCCATCATTGCTATCATACTGGCTTTATAGACATTAGTAAGAGATCCAAGCTCTCCTGTTGCTAATATAGTTTTCAGATGAGCCTCCCCACAGGCCTTGCGAAACTGACGAATCTCATCATACAGGGCTGGGAAAGAAAATAATTGAGGCAGTTACAAAGCAGGCAAGTGATAACATAACTTGGCAGCCGTTTAGAGCTGGTAGAACCCATTTCACATTTAGGAAACATAAAACATTTGTCACTTTCTAAAAATCACCCCAATTTAACATTGCCTGGAGCATTCTGTTGCAGTTCACATCCTGTTACAAGGAATGCTTGGTTTGCTACCATGAAACCGTTTCTAAGCCCTGGCCTGAGGTCCAGAGACATAGAGCTTTTTAAATATCATAATGACATGCAAATTATAAATAATTTCTGTCTTGTCCATATGATGGTTGCTTCCAACAAAAAACAAATGTAGCTACTATACATACAGTGGTGTACCCCTTTGAAAAGTAATAAAATAAATCTTAGGTTCTTATTAACTCTTCCATTCACAAGTAATAGGTTCTTTGGTTGAAATACAAAACACACCTTTCTCGAGAGTTATGTTCATGACAACAGACACAGCAGCTTGCCCCACTGCCTGCCAGAGTATGTTTATATGTCTGACTAAAAAGCGTTGAGCCTGGCCAGGTAGTGTTGGATGCATGTGCACAAAGCCATCTCTAGGGAGGCTCAGAGATGCTGCCTTGAATCTATTAACCCCTGAGCCCATCACCCCAGGACCACATCTGGCTTTGGAGGGTTCCACATTGTGCCCAGATTTATTTCATATTTCATATTCAAGGTAACATCTCATATGAAAGGTAACAGGATTTTAGTAAGCAAATTAGACCAAAATCATGGGTATTAAATCTTTAAAAACTTATTTAAGTCTTTTTTCAATGACACCAGCGGATTTTGGCTTTTACCCTGTATCAGGCCGGCCACTTTCATTTCTTGAACTCAGGCTACTGCCATGGTATCAGGATCAAGGCTTTTTCTTTCCTTTGTATTTGAGAATCTTTCATAGGAAGTAGTTTTATAAGCACATGGACTAAACCAAGCAGGAGGGAAACATTCATAATAAGCATTGGGGTAAGCATTTCTTAAAGCTAAAATGAGAGTTCTGTAATTCACAGGCTTACTAAAGTACATAAAAAAATGAAAAATTAGTCTCAAGTTAGCAAACTCAGTTCAAACCACAAGAGTTGTAACGGCCAAATAAAACTTGCCTTCTCAGTCCTAGAAAACATGAACTTGAAGCTCAAAAGTGAAAAATGAAGAGAAATGAAAGCAAATATTCTATTCCAAGATGCTCAGTTTAGAAAGTTTGTTACCACTGAGAGATGGTACCCACAGAAGGTTCTTCAATAAAGAACAGACTATTTTCACAGATCCTTAGTAATGCGCAGTTCTGAGTACTAGGGATGATTGATCTGAGATGCCACACCACCTACCTTACCCTGCCCATCTACCTAACCTGGGAGAAAATCATCCTACTTATGCCTTCAATGTGACAACCTGTATAAGAATGTTAAAAATAGTAATAGACTATGTAGCAAAAAAATATATATATTCTTTTAATTCAGCGAATGAATTGGATGGAATGACATTTCTTGAGTTATTGAATCTAAAAAAAGAAACTTGTTCTCTAAGAACAAGTGACAAGGAAAATCTTCTGATCTAAAAATCCAAGAACACTAATCCAAGTTAACTTGTGATTTAATTAATGATTTTCTTCCACAAAACAGTGTTGTCATTAAAAGCTGGCTTTAGAGTGAGACAAATGCAGATTTAAAACCCAACTCCATCATTTCCTGTGGGACCTTTGGCAAGTTATTTCTCTCAGCATCAGCTCCATCCTTAAGGTGTCAATAATATTTACTTTACAGGGTTACTAGGAATAAGAGAGAGAGATACAAAGTACTTTGCATACTGCCTGACATGTTATAAGCACTCAAAAAGTTTAATTATTAAGTTCAGAATTCTAGTAAAATGAATTTCCACTAAGTGTTGTGTTATAAAAGTCAAATCTTATTTCATGGCCTGACCCAGTTCCAGTAACCAAAGTTCTGTTGTATGGATTACTGCTTACAATCAGTGAGCCATCAGACAAGGCTTGAAAGTATTTTATTATAGCAGTTGTTAAAGTGAACTTTGGCCTGTAAAACAAATTCTTAAAACACTGATCACAGCCATATTTGTGAACCAAAAAAATAATCCTTTTTCTAGAGTACTACCTTCTGATGCCAAGTGAATTTCTTGAAGTATAGTTAAAATTAACCAGGAAAACCAGAGGTATTTTATGATTCAGTTATTTGGAAGTTATGCTCTTTAATCCATGATCCAAACAGAATGAACCAAAAGTGCTCACTTACAACATAACTGGATTTACAAATATGCAGCCAATGCCTTCTCATTCGTTAACTGCCAATTTCTAAAATCATTTTACTGGCCTATTTTACCACATAATAGGGTCAAGTTTTTCTGAGAAAATATCTTAATCTTTAAGGTTTAACAGGTGGAAAGTTGTCATTTCTTTGTTACCATTCTGCCCAAAATATACTAGAACAATTACATCAAAAGTTATACCAAATCTGGTCTTTTTAAAATGTGACCTGGGCTCTATCAAGTGATTGCTTCTACCCAGGCCTTTGAATCTTACAGAGTGAGGCAAAGATGAAAGAATAGTTAGATATTTTCCTTATTAGTGCAGTATCAGCAATAGCAGGAGATCCAAAAGTCCAGTGTCCCAGAGGCCAGCGACCAGCCAACAGTGTGGTACCTGTGCTGGCCAGCAGGAGCAGCACCAGCAGTGGCCCTGGGACCACGCTCTTCCTGTGGCACAATCTGACTGTGTCCTCTGCTCCTTATTCTCTCATGGTCCTGCTTTTTTTCTCCTTATTCAGTGAGCTGCTTTATGTCTTTCTAATATAATAAATCCCCTTTCAGCTTCACTTAATCAGAATTGGTTTTGTTCATCTTCAACTCATGAATATTTACTGAAGACGTATGGTATTGTAGACAATAATGTGGGTTCTCCTGAGTATATGGATTCACACCCCAACTCTACTACTAGTTTACTGTTTGATTTGGGTAAGTTACTTAACTCTAAACCTGTCCCACGTTCATTTACAAAATGGGAATGATAGAAGTATGCACACCTCACGGAGTTATTTTGAGCATCAAACAGGTTAACATACATGAATAGATAAGGACAATATCCCGCACATTGTTCATGCTCAAGGAATGTCAGTTCCTGTTTTCAAAGTTGTTGGTGGCAGCAGTGATGGTGTTACTGTTATTACTCGGTGCTTATCAGGCTCAGATTACAGAGGGACTTACAAAAGCTGAGGACACCACGATCTATGTTCCTTAAAGAACATAAAACCTCTTTGGGCCCCTAAAAAACAGTCTGGGGAAAAAAGTTTACTATATATCACAAACAAGTTTGTTTTTAAGTTAAGAACCCATGCTACATTGAATAGCAGACTCTTGACATAGACAGTTTTTGCTACTTGCTAGTTGTGTAAACATTTAGGAATTACTCAATTTCTATAAGCCTAATTACTTAGGGAGGCTTGGTTTGCTCACATATTTTTGTGACGATTAAATAATACATGTGGCTAGAACAGAACCAGGCATTTAGTAGGCATTTAATCATTCAATACCAGCTTCCCACATTCTTTCTCATACACTTCCAAAAACCCAAAAATAACTATAATGAACAACAACAACAACAAAAAGCAAGCACTGTCCTAATACTTATGAAAGCACAACTAGAATTTGCCGATCTTACATATAAGAAAAAATAGACCACTCCAACACAAGCCATAGAAACCACAAAGAAGCATTATTAGTGTTTAGGTCATTTTGAGTACTTTGACAGTACCATGATAGACACCTTGGAAACTAGAGGAATGACATATGCTAATCAAAGTGGCTTGATGGCTGAAATGTAACCCAGTCAATCTCAAATTATGTCCTTTAACAAACTCAGCTGGCACTTTCCTTTCAATATAAATAAGCCAAACAATGGAAAAATGAATGAGCAGGTTTTCCCCTATGTTCATAGGAAAGGACAATGGTGGGGTGTGGAGTTATTATAATTGCTGCTAGACCACACACGCAGAGGAAATTACAAGTGAAGTAATAAGTTCAACAGATGCCCTTTCCAAAAAATTTTGCATGAGGAATAATTATTATAAAGGATAAGAAATCCCCTACGTTTTCAAAGCTTATTCCCTCAAAAATGCTCAGTGTTCTCCACACACCATTTAACCATTCCCTTGTGAGATAGTTCAGTTACCTTCATGTTTCCAATGTGAAAAGTAAGATGTGGGCCAGGCACAGTGGCTCACGCCTGTAATCCCAGCACTTTGGGAGACCGAGGCAGGTGGATCACCTGAGGTCAGGAGTTCGAGACCAGCCTGGCAACCTGGTGAACCCCCTTCTCTACTAAAAAAGTACAAAAAATGAGCAGGGCGTGGTGGTGGACACCTATAATCCCAGTTACTAGAGAGGCTGAAGCAGGAGGACTGCTTGAATCCAGGAGACAGAGGTTGCAGTGAGCCAAGATTGCGCAATTGCACTCCAGCCTGGGCAACAAGAGCGAAACTTCATCTCAAAAGGAAAAGTGAGACATGGAGAGATGAATGACCTGCCCCAAATCTTACAGAAAGGACTCGTCATGCCTTCATACGTGGAATAAAACTGTATTTCCTCAAAATTTTCTGCCTCTATTCCAGCACACATAACACACATGCATGCACAGGCACACTCACTGTAGTTACAACATATTCTCAGGGAAATACACTGCAGTGCTTCGAGCCACAGAGTCGTCAAAACTCAGAACTTAAAGGGATGTCAATTCCCTTCCAGTTCAAACTACTCACTTGACAGATGGGCATTATAATCCTAAGACCTGGTTTTCATGCTTCTAGGGTAAAAAAGCTGCATAAAATGAAAAGTTCCAAGGTAATTCAGAAACCTAAGATACTTAATTTTGTATAATACACTAAAAATGATCTATAAATTGCTCTTTTAGCTCCCCTGGATGGGAAGAAAACAAGAGTATGGTGCTACAGTAGAGTTCGCATTTT